AGAGAGAGAGAGAGAGAGAGAGAGAGAGAGAGAAAGAAAGAAAAAGAGTTCCACCTAGACTTTGAATTGCACTTTAAGTTTGTTACAGAACCACATTTTGCACTGGTAGTGTTGTTTTATNGAAAGAGTTCCACCTAGACTTTGAATTGTACTTTAAGTTTGTTACAGAACCACATTTTGCACTGGTAGTGTTGTTTTATTTTCCTCTAGATGAGACAGGTTGTGGATAAAATTGAGTATTTTTAAAAATAACACTTTATTCAATTTATTGGGCTGACAAAGGTCAATATGAACATATAGGTTTCAGGTGTGGGTTTCCATGTTACAAAATCTGTATATTGCTCTGTGTGCCCACCACCCAGTCATATCTTCTCCCCTCAGCATATAGTAAGACCCCCTTCACCCCTCACCCCTCCACCCCCTTTCCTCTGGCAACCACCACACTGCTGTTTGTGTCCACAAGTTTCAGTTTTATATCCCACATATGAGTGAAATCATATGGTTCTTAGCTTTTTCTGAGTGACTTATTTCACTTAGCATAATATTCTCAAGGTCCATCCATGTTGTTACAAATGGCAATATCTCATCCTTTCTTATGGCTGAGTAGTATTCTATCATGTACATGTACCACATTTTCTTTATCCAGCCCTCTCCTCTCCTGGGTATATACCCCCAAACTCAAAAACATGTATTTGAAAAGATATATGCACCCTATGTTCATTGCAGCATTATTCATGGTGGCCAAGACAGGGAAACAACCAAAGTGTCCTTTGATAGAAATTGAGCATTTTAAAACTAGCTTAAAAAATTATGAAAGTAGTGCATATTTATTNGGGAAACAACCAAAGTGTCCTTTGATAGAAATTGAGCATTTTAAAACTAGCTTAAAAAATTATGAAAGTAGTGCATATTTATTATTTAAAAATCACTCAGTATAAAGGTATGGAATGAAAATTAAAAGTTCCTCAATGTCTTCCAGCAAGTTTCTGTCTAAAAAGGAAGGGTGTGTGTGGTTACATAAAAGTGATGTTACTCTGCATATCTTTCGGCTACTTGCCATTTTTCAGTTATTTCTTCTTGGCTACATTTCCAGAGGAGTACAGTAAGTGTACTTATTTTTACTGAAGAACTTGTATATTATTCCAGTCAATGGATTCATTATAACTTACTTAAGTGTTTTCTTAGTGAATACTTAAGATATCTTTAATTAAATTTTATTGGTATAATTGTAGATTTCATGCAGTTTTAAGAAATAATACTGAAATATCCCTCATACACTCTGTCCATTATCTCCCAATGATAATATTTTGTAAACTATGGTATAATATCTCCTGACCAGGTCATTAATATTGATACAATCTGCTTATCTTATTCAGATTTCCTCAGCTTTACTTGTAGTTATTTGTGTGTGTATGTGTTCTATACAGTTTTTATTATCTGAATATACTCATTTACTACCACAATCAATACTGACCAGTTCCAACACTATAAGGATCTCTCATGTTGCCCCTTTATCTCTGTGACCACCTTTCTCCAACCCAATCAACTCCCAACTCCTGCCAATCACTAATATGTTCTCTGTTGATAAAATTATGGCATTTAAAAATGTTATAGAAATGAAATCATAAAGTATGTCATGCTTTGGTTTCTCAGCATAGTTCCATGTAGATTCATGGAAATTCATCTGTATTGTGACATGTATCAATAGTTCACTCTTTTTATTGCTAAGTACTATTCCATGGTATGCTTGTTCTACAGTTGGTTTAACCATTCACTTTTGAGTGACATTTTGGTTGTTTCTAGTTTGAAACTATAAGGAATAAAACTGTTGTGAACATTCATATACAAGTTTTTGTGTAAACATAAGGTTTCATTTTTCCTGGGATAAATGAGTATAGGCAATACACGTAGATCAGTCCAATTAAATCATTTCTGTGTGAAATAAAGAAATGTGATATCTCTAGCTAGAGGAAAGTCAGGCACAGGAGTTATTTTATTTTTGTATGGGAGTAAACTCCTGTGTTCATGTGAAAGGGGGTCAGTGGAATAAATATGTATGACGAGGCAGTAAACATAAGGAATTGTGGATGGAGCACAGTTCAGTAGGTGAGTAGTTACCAGACTCCAAGTAAAAGTAGATAATTATCGTTTATTAGGAAGAAGGGCTCCTCTCCTAGTGATATGAGTAGAAGTGATTTTAGGAAAAGAAATAAAAATGAGGGTGATTCATTTTCTTTGTTAAATTGACTATAAACTAAATGAAAACAGGTTACTTGTCTCATTTAATCAATGTATTTGCAGCACCTAGTACTACTGTGAATGCACCTGGTAGGCTTATAAAAATTTGATTTTTAGATGAATGAGCAAAATAAGGAAAAGAAAGAAGGGAGGGGAGAGAGGGAAGGAAGAAGGAAAGAAAGAAGGAAGGAAGAAAAAGCCAAGAAGAAGATAGAGGTTGAAAGGCCAGGAACTTGAGGAAAGAATGAAAGTTTGGAATAGTCTGGAAAATAAAATAATAGTTGACTAGTACAGTCATTTTCAAAATTATTTTTACCAAGACTCGCAGTAAAACAAACAAATAAAAAATAGATTATATTGTAACTCAAGCATGCATGCATACTTTAGAAACATACATGTGCTTTTTTCAACAATTGTTATCTTTAGTATTTATAGCGCACTTCTGATTTCTGGCCAATTCTAACATTCTGTATCCTATTTTATCATTAAAACTTGAAAAGCAAGAGCCACTAAATTAATTTTTTGATCCACTAATGCGTTATGATCTGCAATTTGAAGATTATTGGGCAAGGGGATATTCAGAAATATTGCTGTGCAGATGAGTAGCCTGACTGAGCTGGGAGACCATTTGGTAGTGAAGAGCATAGAGTTTGGATTCAGGGTGTCTGGTTTGAATCCTGCCCCTATTACTTATTAGTGAAATGGCTATGGACGGTTAAGTAACCTCTTCCAACCTGGGTTTTCTCATCTATGCAATGACTATAGTGACCTTTAACCTGTTAAGTTGCTCTGAAGATTAAATATCATACAATGTCTTCTAGTGCCAGCTTGTCACAGCTGCTCAATACTTGGAAGCTAATGATGGTAGTTATGATGATGATGTTGATGATGTGAAGATATACTGTAATATACTGATTAACCCGTATCTATTACAAGCATTAAATATTTAAATGAAAAAAATATTGATTTTATATGCCATATATTTTCCATTATTACATGTTATTGTTGGAAAATGTGGATATCTCTGATAAAATAAACAACTCGGAGTTAGTAAGTAGAAAATAGCCCTATGTTTCCCCATACATAGACTTAAGTTGTTCTCTTGTGAGTATTTTAAT